AACCTCATCAGGTTCCTCTCTGCCCAACTTTCCAGCCTGTCCAGGTCACGCTGAATGGCAGCACAGCCTTCTGGTGCATCTACCACACCTCCCAGTTTGGTGTCATCAGCAAACTTGCTGAGGGTACATTCTAACTCTTCATCCACTGTGATTTTGTTAGTGCTACATAAAGTTTGCTACGAACCAAGAACAAAGCCTTCCAGAACAGCATGTAAGAAGTCTCTCCCCACTGATGCAATGCTTCAGGTGCTAGAATCAAGTCCAAGAGGATGGAAGGACCCCCCTCTTCCTCCTCCCAACCAAATAAAGCTCACTCAGCAGCAAAGCCTAATTACAAGCCCTTCTCCCTGACAGGCATGTCAGACAACAAACACGACAGACTTTTGAATACACAAACCATAGCCGGCTCAACAACCCCGAAGCCACAGTGTTCAAAAGTATGAATTCTTCTGAGCAGAGATGTTTAACGGACAAGCTGAAGATTACACCAGTTAAGGACAAAAAACAAACAGCACTTAATGGGACTTGCTGAACACACCAACTAGGGGCAATTCACAAGGCAATATCCTGGATAATTTCGGAGATGAGTATCCAAACTTTGGGTTGCTCAAGGCCAGAACAGCAGCCAGCCAACAGCCTGAGGTTCCCACATAATAACTTGATAATATGTTTGGCTGTCAAATAAACTTCAAGTTGCACGTATGAATTGCACAGTTGAGTCCATCAGCAATACAGGGCGTACAGCAGACCTAGTTTTGGTCTCATGAGGTGCTGCTGGTGAACTGTAAGAATGTTTTCATGGTGAAAAAAGGATACAGAAAAGCTTTACAGCAACAGTCCAGTAGACGTAGTATGAGTTTGCAACCTCCCAACACCTTCACAGCCACTGTTTCCAGCATAGGCTGGCTGGGAACTAAGCACTCCGTGTGGGCTTGGGAAGTATTTTTCCTATGTTGATACAAGGATGAGGAGACAGTTATGACCTAGCATTGCCCCCCTTCAGCTCTGGAGACTGAGTTAATGGATAGCATAACGTATGGGATCACGACACTTACTTGGGAATCAGTCCTGCCAGAGTTTCAATGCAGCCCACCAAGTTCATTTTCCATAAGCGCTTCAAGCATTGTTCTACCTAGAAAAAAAAACAAAACTCCTTTGACTGGTATTCTGATAGATGGGAGTGCCTTGGTCTAAGAACTGTCACTACATTAAGTGACACCTCGCCCTTATCAGTTTAACAGCATAAACTGCAGGTTCGTGTGATGGAATGTTCGGGTACGTTTCCATATCTGCGCTATGACGAAAAAGATCCCTTTCTCACGCTACTGTGAATATGGAATTAAGGGCTTGAGCAGGTTGTTGTGGATTGGTGCTGCACAGTTTCCCCTGCTGCATACAGTGGCCTTTAGTATTGGCTTTCAAGAATGAAAATGCATAAACAAATGAGAAAGGTAAGAATTATTCCTGTTTTCTTTCAGAACAGTTACTTGAAGATACTGCTGACAATCCCTTTACTGGAAAGCTGGTAAGGAGTTCGCTTTTGATGTTAAAACAGAAAGTGCCTAACAGAGTAGCCTAGGATTCTTCCTCCCCCCTCCCATCATTACAATTAATTGAAAATTAAATCCCTTTATTACTCATGTATTCAAAGTTATTCAAAGTTATGTAGTTGTACGTACTTCAGGTCTCAGCACGAGTGCAAGAGACTGAGGACTGGTTCCACAGGGCTGCAAAGCGCCAGGAACCCACTCAACCGAACTGCGAGGAGGCTCAAAGGCGACAACAAGGCCCCTGCTCCAAAAGGCTTCCCGCACCACGCCCCAGCCATCGAGCGCTGCGCCAGAGGCCCCTCAGGGACCAGCGGCGCAGCGACCAGGTGCCGGGT